CCAGGCTGTTCTTGAACTCCTGACCTAAAGTGATCCTTCCACCTTGGCCTCCCACAGTGCTAGGATTATAGGCGTGAGCCACCACGCCCGGCCTGCCTGTGTTGTTTTAAATAGGACCTATCTGCCTGCTTAGTCCAATATCCTGGGCCACAGGATCGTAAGGGCCCTGCCACCCACGTGTATTTAAGGGGTGATCAGGACCGAAAGGGTTGGATGTGAAGTGTCAGGTCTCCATGTAGCTAAAAGATAACGTGGTTTCCCCAAACCTCTAGTCCAGGAATTGGGAGCCTGTGAGAACGAGGAGGTAGGTCCAAGAGGCAGTTTTCATGGAGTTACTAGCAGGAATAGGAGAGAGGGGTTTTCTCTGATGTGGGAGTGAGATTACTGCTCTTGTTTGTCTGCTTGTTTGGTGATGAGGACTGTGTGGTTAATACTTATATGAGGGGATAAATATTTTCCTCCCATTGTCATGGAAGAGGGAGGGATGGAAAGAATGAGAGCAGGAGGGGGTGGGAGAAGTGAGAGAAAGACAGGATGTATCCAAAAAGAGAGAGAGAAAGAAAGAGAAACATTAATGTCGATCTATAGAATCCTCAAAATAACAAAATAATTTCAACATCCTTTTTGGCCCAGCTGCCTTCAGGTGGCTGCCAATATCCGTGAAGAACTGCAGGCTGCTGGCTTCTTAGGATCAAAACACTAAGCATACGGAGGGCTCAGCAAAGTGTCAGGGGCCTCCGATCCTTGAGGTTTTATGTTCTCGGATATCCACAAGCAATTGTAGAAGTGTTGCTATTTCAACTGGGTTGGTATTTCACACTCATTTTTGAATAGAGGCAGGCGAGTCCAGAGCTCCGAAATACCCCATTCAGGGCCAGCTCTCCCTTGGAAAAGCCGAGCCGTGAGGTCCTCAGCAATTGTTTCCGCTGCTTGGAACGAAACCAGTTAAAGCCGTTTTCAATTCACCATGCAGATTCTGTAGGAAAATTATGTTTTGCTGTAAGGGACACTGGTTCTTACAAAAATCATCGTGTTGATTTTTTTTTTTTTTGTATTTTGTCTTCCTCTCCAAGGGTGGAGCTGAAATGTGCAAATAAGTCAAATTTTATTCAGCAAAGATTCAACCTATATAGCCTTCCCAGGAAGGAAACGGGAGTTTTAAAAATAACGGAGGGTCGTCTATCCTCTCCCATAGGTGCTTTGAGAGAGGTTATTTAATTCCATCCTAAACAGCAGGAGGTAGGTATGTTACTCCCCATTTACAGAGGCTAAAACTTAGGTTCTGGGGGCTGAAGCCACTTATTCATTTGGCACAAGTTGTAGGTGCTGGAAGTGAGATTCAAAACCATGCTGGCCCAACTCTTGAGCCTTGTAATAAAGCAGGGACACTTTGTTTTATTTTGTATGTAAGTATGTACATATGTATTTATTTTTGATACAGAACCTTACTATTTATTTTTGAGATAGAACCTTACTCTGTCACCCAGGCTAGAGTAGCATCAGTCTAGCTCACAGTAAGCTCAGACTCTTAGATT